AAAAATCCGACAGGCGTGAGTGGGGGGCGTGGGGAATTTTGGGGTGTTCACTCCCGCACTTTTTAGGGGGGCCAAAGGTTGAGAAACACTGCTGTCAATTAATTGTGAGATCCAAGGGCATGTTGAAAGTGATGCACAATTTCACATATGGGAGATATCTCCCCCCTTTGTATTTGCCTGGTTGTAAAAGTTAATGTTTCTCAAGCAGCGGATGAACCGAGCCGAGCTGTCACCCTTGGGCTGTGATGAGGAGGGGGGCAAAAAAGTGACCTTTGGGATGCTGACTGCTGAAGCAAGGATAAAATGCACACCAGGACCAAATCACAAGGTTCATTATCGGGCGATGTTTGCAGGAAAGCTCGAGGCTGGAGTTCCTGTCTGAAAAGGGATGGGGGTGGCACTCCCCGGGACTGAGTTGGTGCGTAATTTGGGGGTCTTCCTGGGCTCGCGGCTCCTGCTTGATGAGCAGGTGGCAGCTGTGGCTGGGGGGAGCCTTTGCACAGATCCATCTTGTGTGCCAATTGTGCCCTTTCCTGGACCAGGAGGCCTTGCTCACAGTCACTCACGCCTTGGTCACTTCTGGTTGGATTACTGCAATGTGCTTTACATGGGGCTGCCCCTGAAGACCACTTGGAAATTACAACTGGTTCAGAATGCAGTGGTGCGCTCCAGAGGGTTACCACCACTGCCCAGAGGATCATTGGCTGCCCTCTCCCCTCTTTGGAAGAACTTTATAGTTCCCGCTGCCTTAAGAAGGCTCAAAACATGCTTAAGGACCCATCCCACCTGGGACATCCTTTTTTTGAACTATGACCATCTGGCAGATGGTACAGGATAATGAAAAGAAGGGCAAAGAGGCTGAAGAATAGCTTTTATCTTAGAGCTGTAACTATACTGAACTCTACCGTATAGTGCAGCATTAATGCAGCATCAGGAGTTGTGCAATATGCAATGTGAAGATTGTGTTTTATATGTTTTATGTGTGTTATGTGTTTTATGTGTTCTATGGTTTTTATATTTTTAAAGCTGCACTGGGGTGGCATTTAATTTCGTTGTACGAGTAGTACAATGACAATAAAGATGACTTTTTTATATTTTTAAAGCTGCACTGGGGTGGCATTTAATTTCGTTGTACGAGTAGTACAATGACAATAAAGATGACTTTGACTTTGACTATTGGGTGCTCATAGGTTCGTCCACGTTACAGCTTCACTTGCACTTGCTCCCAGTTTCCTTCTGGTTATCACCTTTAAAGCCCTCCATGGCATGGGACCAGGTTATTTGGGGGACTGCCTCTCCCTAAGAATATCTGCCCGTCGCACTAGATCAGAAAGAGTAGCACGGTCCAGGTCCCTTCCCTGAAGTCCTGTCGCCTAGTGGGACCTTGGAAGCATGTCTTTTCCGTGGCTGCCCCTAACTTGTGGAATACCTTCCCCCTGGGGATTTGGCAGGCCCCCACCCTTTTAGCCTTTTGGGAGGCCATTAAGACCTGGCTTTTTACTGAGGTGCTGGGATAAGATTGTATAGATCAGTGTTTCTCAACCTTGGCAACTTTAAGATGTGTGGACTTCAACTCCC